CACGGAGGATCAGGCAGAAGAAGGTCCTACTTCTCAATGGTCGTGAAGGCGGAAGAAGCCTGCAGCAGAGCAGGAAGCTCTGATCGTATCGAATCCCTTACCATTGGAAGAAGAATCCCGCTCTGTGAAGTAACGTGTGATTGCTGATGTGTAATGGCATCCCCACGCGAAAAGAAGTCACACCCAGACAGACGTCTTTCTTTGGACACTCATAGCTAAGCGAAGGCTAACGAACAAGAGGTGGTCAGAAGAAAAGTTTCAAGGACGTCCTCAGGGTCATCGGATAAGAGGTGGACTGAAGTAAAGTTTCAAGGACGTCCTGAAGACCAACGTGAAAAAAATGCAATATCGCAACTAACGCTTGCGAGACCCTTACTCTCGTCGTTCTCAATGGAGAGGTTCTCGCGGCAGGGATCTCATTACTTTGAGACTCATCAGGAACTTATCGAGCAAGAGAAACTGGATAAACGAAAGGATCGAACAGTAATCCGACTTAAGAATCATCGTTTCTCCCCTCTACAACAAAATGTGGGGATCTTAGGTCGGCCTTATCAGTCACTTACGAACTTATTGGTCAGTGATTGATTGTCAATCAATGTATGAAGGTATTCTTTAAGAATGATGAAAAAATAAAACTAAAAAAGTCAATTTTATACTTAGAAACTTACTATGAAACACTTCTGTATGGATATAGTCAACAGTAACAATAATAGTAAATAAGTAGCGATACGGATGAAGTTTGACAGTAACAATAATAGTAAATAAGTATCGGTACGGATGAAGTTTAACAGTAAAAATAATAGTAAATAAGTAGCGGTACGGATGAAGTTTAACAGTAACAATAATAGTAAATAAGTAGCGGTACGGATGAAGTTTAACAGTAACAATAATGATAAATAAGTAGCAGTACGAATGAAGTTTAACAGTAACAATAATAGTAAATAAGTATCGGTACGGATGAAGTTTAACAGTAAAAATAATAGTAAATAAGTAGCAGTACGGATGAAGTTTAACAGTAACAATAATAGTAAATAAGTAGCGGTACGGATGAAGTTTAACAGTATCAATAATAGTAAATAAGTAGCGATACGGATGAAGTTTAACAGTAACAATAATAGTAAATAAGTATCGGTACGGATGAAGTTTAACAGTAAAAATAATAGTAAATAAGTAGCGGTACGGATGAAGTTTAACAGTAACAATAATAGTAAATAAGTAGCGGTACGGATGAAGTTTAACAGTAACAATAATAGTAAATAAGTAGCGGTACGGATGAAGTTTAACAGTAACAATAACAGTAAATAAGTATAGGTATGGATGTAGTTTAGCAGTAAGAATAACAGTAAATAAGTAGGGGTACGGAGGAAGTTTAACAGTAACAATAATAGTATGGATGTAGTTTAGTATGGCGGTGTGGATGTA